CAGAGGTCTATACAAACGCATGAACAAGTCCATTCTGATTATCTGAGTCGTCCTACAAACATTTAAAGTGACCAAAGGAAAAAATCTGCCAAAGGTCATATTTCCAACATGCATGGTGGCACATGCCTATAATCCCAGCTACTTGGGAGACCAAGGCAGGAGGATCACAAGTTCAAGGATAGCCTGGACAATATAGGGAGAACCTGTCTCAGAACATATTTTTTAAAGGAATGGGCTATATCTAAGTGTTAAAGTGGGTCCTGCTTCAATCCCCAGTGTTGTAAAATAAAATTTTTTTATGATTGAATTTCTTCAACATTGTAGGGTGGGATAATTCCATTCAACCAAATTATCCCCCTTCCAGGTATCTTCCTAAAAGAGTTAAAGACATAATATTACAGTGATACATATTTACCCTTTTTTGTTGTTATTGTTTGTTTGAGGCAGGGTCTCGCTACACAGTTCAGGCTGGCCTTGAACTCATGGCGATCCTCCTGCTTCAGCCTGCCAAGTGCTGAGATTACAGGCATGCACCACCACACCTGGTGATATACACTCATGTTTATAGCAGCACAATTCATAATAGCTAACTTCTGGAACCAGCCCATATGTCCATCAATAGATGAATGGATAGGGCTGGGGATTTAGCTCAGCGGCGCTGCACCTGCCTCACAAGCCCAAGGTCCTGAGTTTGATCCCAGTACCACAAAAAAGAAAAAAAGAATGGATAAAGAAGATGTAGTTTATACACAATGGAGTACTACTCTGCCATAAAGGGTAGACCTGAAGCATTTTTAGGTAAATGGATGCACCTTGAGATCATAATGTTGTGAAATAAATCAGACACACAAGTTAAATATTGCATGCACTACATGGTTTCTCTTATATAAGAAAACCAAAATATAAATGAAGAGAAAAATAAAAGATACATAATAGGAAATAGGGAGATCTTTTTCAAATGGGAAGGACAAGAGAGGGGGAGAGGGAAGGAAGGAAGGGAAAGGGATTTTTAAAAAGAACTGGAGGGCCGGGGACTCAGCTCAGTGCTTCCAGTGCCTGCGTTGCAAGTGCAAGGTCCTGAGTTTGATCCCGGGTACCAAAAAAAAGAACTCAAGGAAAAAAATTTTTTAATTTAAATTTTTAAAATAGAGCTTTTGCGAGTGGGAAGGGGAAGAAGAGTTGGAGGAAACAGGAAGGTATGGGAGGCAAAGGAGACAAAAGAATTAAGATGTGTTAATGCACATGTACAAACTCCCCACAATAAATGTAATCATAATGTACTACAAACATGTACTAATAAAATAAATGTTAAAATATATATAACAGGAAGTAGGTAGACAGATCTTTCCCAAATTGTAAGGGGATTGAGAGATGGAGAGGGAGGGAGGGAATAGGGATGGAAAAAAAGAGTCAAGATGTGTTGTGTGCATATACCAACTCCACACTAGGCATGTAAACATTATGTACTGCAAACATAGACTAATAAAAATCATGCACAGGCCCAACATGGCCTCAGTGACCACAATGTCTGGTACAAAAGGGAAAAATATTCTCTAAGGAGATTAAATGTTGGACCTGGCTGGCATGGAATTTTACCCAGCCAACAAAAGACCATGAACCTGGACATCCTGATTCTAAGCATCACTTATACTTTGTATGTCAATTTTCTTTAGTCACCATAACCTAAGACAATTTGTCCATACCCTTTGTGGTGAACAGTAACTTTTCTTTTTTTTTTTTGGTACCGGGGATCGAACTCAGGTCCTTGCGCTTGCGCAGCAGGCGGCGAAACCACTGAGCTACATCCCCAGCCCTACAGTAACTTTTCTGTCCAAAGACTTCTCTCTGCCATTCTCCCAGTGTGCACACCTGTGTGTGGTGCTCAGGTCATGTCTCTCTGTTCAGCAGAAAAGCTTTTTGTACACACAGTGTTCTAAAGTACTGGCTGGGAAACATATTATGGCTCTTTTAAAAAATTTATAAGCTCCCAAATATTGACAGTGATTTTGTGAAGACAAAAGTGGGTCCTATAAGTAGCAGAAAGACACTCTAAAAAGAATAGTAGCTGAGCTGGGGATTTAGCTCAGTGGTTCTGCTGCCTGCCTCGCAAGCACAAGGACCCAAGTTCAATCCCCAGTACAAAAAAAAAAAAAAAGCATAGTAGCTAATGAATAAGAAGTCAGCAGCAAGCCTGTTTTTACGTATATTCCAGTCCCATGGGCAGAGCAAACACTGAGCCTTAATCTCTGCTAGCCTGAAAAGCAGATAATCTTAGACAAATCACATAAACTCCCTAAGCTTCCAAATTTTCCTCAGTAAAAATGGGGACCTCTTATGGAATGTACCTTTTCACAGTGCTCTTAGGGAAGAAATGATATGTGTGAACACATCCTATGAGGTACTGTTACATATCCAAAGGGGTAAAGCCAGTTAGAATCTCCAGACAACTTAAGATAAAATGACTTATGCTCTGCCTGAAGATTTTTGTCTCTTAACCTTATTCACTTAACTTCTATTCCACAAAGTCCATCACCACCAATCCAGACAGCTGGGCTACTAGTAGCCTGTTAGCTCTACATATATGTGAGCTCTACATCCTCCTTAAGCTATTCTCAAGACTGCTGACTTGAGGGAATTAGATAGCTCAACTTCATTCTACCTATTGATCATGGGCCCCTAACTTAAGCATTTGGTCCAAACACTCTACATTTGTGTGCCCTACAGAAATCATAAATACACACTCAGCAGACAAATACAAGAAAGAATTTCATGGGATATATATAGATATACACACATATTTATCTTAAGCATCAAGCATCCCTGGCACATGTAAATATCTGTTTTGGAATCATTAGCTTTAAATATATCTTCTAAAAGCAAAATATTAAGACTCTCAATCAATTTAATATTAATTAGAAATAAAAAAACTGCTTATTCCAAATAGCCATCAAACTGATCATCAGTAATTGATTTACATGCAACTCATTAGAACAGGTACATGCATCTCCCAAAATGTAATTCCCTCTGTCACAATGCACAAAGTGGTACATCTCACAAAGCTAAATTTAACTGTATGTAAATAAGACTGCGATAAATCTGATTTTTTTCAACTGCCATTATGTCTAAAACAGTGTACTAGACACTAAATTATAAAGCCCAACATTGAAGTACTGTAAACAGTTTTCAAGGGTTCTAAATATAATCAAAGACTGGGCTGGGGATTTAGCTCGGTGGTTTCACTGCCTGCTGTGCAAGCGCAAGGACCCGAGTTTGATCCCCGGTACCAAGAAAAAAAAAATAATAATAAATGTAATCAAAGACTAACCAGTAAGTGACTCAAGTTTAGACTTTAGTATTTTATATATGTATATATATATAATTTTTGTACATCTCCAGTAAACATTACCAGTGCATTACATAATTATTGTATATTTATTTTATATATTTTATAATTTCCATGACTCAAAACATCAATTCAAATTATCACAGATATATTTTGAATCAGTACTATTATGTTAGATACACATTTACACAAAATTGCAGTATCTCTTTTTACTTTTTTTTTTTTTTGGTACCGGGGATGGAACTCTGGTCCTTGAGCTTGCGAGGCAGGCATGCAGTATCTCATTTTTTAAAAGGACATATAATGTCTATTAAATGCTTTTTACAATAAATAAATAAAAATAAATGCTTTTTTTTTTTTCCAGTGCTGGTGATCAGACACAGGGCTTTCTACGTGTTAGTCAAGCATTCTATCTGGTAATTGTATTTTTATGAGTTGAATTTACTACTAAGTATTACTTTTCCTGTATTAAAAATAAATTTTGAGAAATATAAAATGTGATTAGATTCCATAAAGTCCCTTAGAACCACTATGAAACCACTATAAAATATTTTCTAAATGTGTTTTAAACCGATTTCAAAGATTTATATCTTGAACAAGACTTAACTGTTACTAGGGACTGCTTTTGAAGTAGAAATGTTTCAGGTTCATCTTTAAAAATGACTGAATATAAAAGACTCCCAAAGTTTTATGCCTGAACACCTACTGATAAACAAATCCCTACATTTTTCTTCTTTCCTTCTTTCAGAATGTATGTAGAAACATGGATTTTTTTTTCCAGAAAAAACTGAGAGTATTTAATGCTGTTTTCATGGTCACAGTCATCTTCTACAAAACTTACAGTACAAACCTTTCCTTTCCCATGTTCACTTTTTAAACAGCAAACATCACTCAGAGAGAGAGAGAGATCTCCATTGAGAATTTAGAAACTTACACCAAAAGTAAAAATTTCTATGTAAACACTGGAAACACAGCCCCCTCCAAAAAAAAAAAAAAGGCAAAATCTTTTCTTTGATGCTGTGTATTATTATACTGAAGCAAAAAGCAGATAAAATTAAACCAACCTTATTTTCCTGAAGAGAACTCCAAAGTTTTTCACAAAAATAATATTCTTTTGACCTAATTTTATACTTTCAATATTAATTAGACACTAGGGATGACTCAAGGAATGAAGAGGCAACAGTTGGATTCCTCTTCAGCAAATAAAAAAGACCACCAGTTTAGTGTAGCTGGGTCCAGCAGGAAGGAAGTCCCGTTCTGGTAAGGGACCCAGCGAGCACATTTTAAAGCGCGGTCACCGGCCTGACACACGCCGTGTCCCGGTCCAACACTCAAGCACCCAGCGTTCAAGTCCGCTCTCATCATTTCACCCACCGACAGGAAATTCACCCAGGAAAACCACAGGATTTTCTCTTTTAAAAAGACATTTATATTAGCACAACCAGCCCGAAAATCACAAGCGCAACCTGCGCAAGTTAACTTACTGCTGTCTTCAGCAAAGACATTTAATCGAAGCATGAGATCTGTCTCTAGTAGTGTCCAAGACGGTTGGACTGTTTCCCCCCTTTATTGTTCTCAGTATTACTGATTTGTCGCTGAAAGGCTCCAAGCAGAAAGTCGGACAGTGAAATCACACCTGGGGCGAAGGGGCACCTACCTCGCAGGTGAAGCGGCGGCCGTGCATTCTCGGCAGCTCCGCTCCCTCGGGGGCGCTCACCCGGGAGCCCAGGGACGCCGGCCGCACCGCAAGTCCTTCGGGCCCGGCCGGCCAGTTCCGCGCGCAGCAAGTTTCCAGAGACGGCTCTGCAGCCGCTGCGCCTCCCACCTGGGCAGCGGGCGGGAGAGCGCGGAGTCGGCGGACGTCGGCGCGGCAGCTGCAGCTGCCTTATACCGATCGGGACGGTGGGGCGGGGTGGGCCACGTGACCGCGGGCCGGGCCTGGGGGACCCTTAGCTGCTGGGAGATGCGGGGTACCCTCACCCTAGAGTCTCAGACCGAGGAGGAAATGAGCCGGGCCTGAGAATGAGCGTTTCGTAGCGAGTCCCGCGTGCTGCGCTCAGGCCGCGGGTTAAGTAAGGATCGCGTCTCCAGACCCTGCCCTCGGGGCGATTCTGAACGCCGCAGGCAGAGTCTGTAGGAGGACAGCCGCGAGGGGAGGCCCGGCGTGCCGCGGCGGGAGAGCGCTTGCCTAGCGCGCGAGGCCCTCGGCTCCATCCCCCGCCCACAGAAAATGAACTTTAAAAGTCACCCTAGCCACGAAGCCGGGGGGTGGGGGGTCTCAGTTCTCAGGCTGGCCGGGAAGGCCTTCGCGTGGAGCCCGAGACCCCAGGGGCTGCTCAAGCTCGGGAAGCGCTGCGCCTCCGAGTCCACCTCCCCGCGCTGCCGAGGGCCTGCCGCGCCCCCTGCTGGCAGCCCCAACTCTGCCCACTCTTCTGGGTCTGCGCTCGCTGGCACCCATCCCGCAGGAGCCCCGCTGCGAAGGCAGAGGCGCCACGGGCTGAAGAAGCTGAAGAAGTCGAAGGCGAGGCGAGGCGAGGCGAGGCGAGGCGAGGCGAGGGCTTGGGCCTGACCTGTCAGCTGCGGAGACTTGTTAGCCACGGGCGCAGGGCAGCCGCTCCCGAGCCCTGCACCTGATACCAATCTGACACGCGATCAAGCTTGGCCCTTTACCTGACACCAATCCTCTAATTTTCTAGCGCCAGATCAAGCTGGTTTTTGATGGGACGGCCCGGATCGAATGTCAGAAAGAGGCTATAAAAGATGGCAGCCATGACTTCGTTCCCACTGCCCTCTTGTTCTTCCGGCGGCCTAGCACTTTTTCTCCTTGACACTTATTTTGCGCTTCCTTTTCTTCTTCACCTTAAATAAACGTTCAACTTTCACCTTCATCAATTGTTTCGCCCAATTCATTGAATAGGAAGAATCTGGAAAGCACTGCTGGTCACTACAAAACCCGGTGACAGAGGCAGCCGTTGATGGCAAAAGTTAAAAAGGAGAATAGACTTCCTGCAGGCCTCGGAGAGCCCAGTGTCACATCTGTGCTGGATTAATCATCACACCCTTCACACGTGCCGTAGGGGAGGAACACGGCTCTTGATGACTGTGATCTGGCTCTCTAGTACAGAAAGACTAAAGGGCATCCGGGGTAACCTTGCGGAGTGCCAGCCTAGACTGTGTGGGGTTGAGGTTTAGCCCACTTAGCCAAAAGTAGTCTTCAAGGATTGTAGTGTGGTCTAGATGTCCATGCCATGAGGTTGTCAGGACTGGCTCCAAATATGGAGAACCTCCTCTATCAACAATGAACAATGGTTATCTGATATCTCTACTGCTCCCACCCCAAGACCAGTTTCCATTAAAGCCAACGGATTGTAAGGCCCTTTCCTGGTCCTTGAGGCACAGAAGTTAGTTTGGACTGAAGAGTGGATGGCTGCTGAGATCCACCCGGTGAAAATCTGCAAAGGATAAAACGTTTGTCTTTGCCAGTCTCAGCCTCCCTGTGCCTGTGTTCCTCCAGGCCCCTAGTACCCATGTATTCTTCCTTCTATCCTCCTTAAGGAGAAATTTAACGATGGTTTTTAAAAATCAGTTTCACTTGGTGCTTGGCTTGTGAACAAGATACCTCTGGAGTGGAAACTTACAATGAAGGGATTTCAATCATGAGCTGTCAGGCAGGAAATGGTGATGTGAGAGTGAAGAAAAATGACCTCTATTGAGTATCTGTATCATGCCACACAGTGTGCCAAAGATTTAATCCTCTTATCAGTTCTGTGAGATGAATAACACTGTCCCCACTTTTCAGATGAGGAAACTGAGGCTCACAGAGTTTATATTAGCTACCTGAGACTGCACAACAAGAGACAAACCAACACTGGCAACAGTGGATAGTTGTCATTTATTGGACATTTAACCATGCCCTGCTTTCTATTATATATTCTTATCTCATTTTAAACACAAACCTATGAGGTAAGTTCTATTATTATTCCCATTTTATGGTTCAGGAAAGTTAAATGACCTCCCCAAGATCACATGGCCTGTCAGGAGCTGAGAAGGACTTGAACCCAGAGCAGAGCCCAAGGCCCTGTTCACCTCCACACCGTGCCTGTAATGGATTAGGAATTAAGATGGCCTGCTTCTTGTCGTCTCTACGCAAAACGCTGCACCTCCTGTGGGCAAACCCCACCTCCACGCTCCCGCCACCCCAGAGACAAGCTTCTACTTAACCCAGGAAGCAGAGCCCTCTGCCTGCTCTGATGCTTCCTGCAGAGGTGATTGTACTCCTGGGAGCAGCGAGTTCTCCTTTTGAAGACCCTCGAACACCTACAGTTTGCTCTTTATTATGCAGGGAGATCTCGCTGCAGGACAGTGACAGCAAGGAAAGTGAAGGGGAGGGAGCAAATTAATACCAACAGCTAGACCTAGACTGAAGCACCCTGGAGTCTAGTGGGGAGGACTGTGTCCCAGGCGCATTTCCACCTCACCCACAACCTGCCCAAGGAATCACACACACAGTATGATGCCATGCCTCTGCCCCTCCCCAACATATCCTACCACAAGGATTGTTTAATCCCAACTTCTGGGTTGAAGCATTGAGTTGTTAGAACTCAATTATGTTATATATGATGAGTAAAACTAGCTCACGAGCTCGGTTTGTTCGTTCGTTTGCTTGCTTGTTTTGCTTGTGTTATTTGCTGTACTGGAGATTGAACCCAGGGCCGCTGAGTTACACTCGCAGGACCCCTTGTAATTCATTTATTTTTGATTTTCTAGCTTTTATGATTACACTAGCTAGATGAACTGAGAAGATTGGCTAGAGGTCACCTGGGAAAGCAGAAGAGGTCAGAGCAGGAAGAGGCTTTCGCTGCGGGGAAGAATGAAAGCCTCTTTCTCACTGGGGACCTTGCTCATTTTCTCACCCCAGCCCATCCCTGCCTGAAGTCTTAGCTATTCCCAAACCACCTCGGCTGGTGACATGTGCACCTGCCTCACCCAGAGTGCTCGTCCTACCTGTCAACATCATCAGTGCTGCTGTTGTGCAACCTGTATCTCCAGCAACACGGCAGTCCCTGGATTACCCCCTACTGCAATCCATGCATGCAACAACTATTTCCTGAAGGCTTTCACTTGGACAGATCAGAGGAGGGCTGGGGAGAGATCCTCTGCAAGAAAGAAACCACCAAGAAGCTAAGCAAGTAAAAAGAAGCTCTGTCAAAGGCAAGAAAGCAAAAGCTGACAAGAAAGTGAAGGATAGGGCGGAGTCAGAAATAAACCCCTGATGCCTGGAGGAGGTCCCGTCAAAGCACGGTTCTGGATTGTTGCCTTCCTCTTCTGAGCCTGAGGCCAAGAGGGAGGATTTGGACCCTGGGATGCTCTTATCTGCCTCAGAGTGTTTAGGAACAGACTTATTCTTCATATTTTAGGGTATACTTTGGTTTTTGGTTTTTTTGTTGTTGTTGTTGTTGTTTGGTACCGGGGATCAAACTCAGGACCTTGCATTTGCGAGGCAGGCGGTGGAGCCACTGAGCTAAATCCCCGGCCCATACTTTGGTCTGTTTTAAGAGGATCTGGAGCTAAAACTGTGCACTTACAGAATTAAGTTATCGCACTTATAGTAACACCTTGATCTGGTGGTAGTGAGTGGCAAAGGTGGGCTTACTAACACAGTCGGTCAGAGGTGATCTCAACTGCTCATACATCGGAGTTCCTGAAATGTGCCTTGATATTTCAAAGTTGAATTTGGATAATTTCTGGGATCATGTCTCTTGTGGAAATAAAGAGGATTCTAATATTTATTGAGTATCTTTCCAGCCCAGAAACAGCAGTAGTAGGCAGGCTTGTATAGGTTGGTTCATTTTGTTCCACTTAATCCTCATAGATTCCCTAGGACTGTCACTGTTAGACAGCTGGTGAAACTGAGGCTCAGAGAGCTAATATTTCTTCTGTAAGGTCCCCTGAATGTGTCTGGCAAGGTGAAAATTCCCACTTGTTTGCCTGGCCACTTGCTAATCCCAAGTTTTCCCCACTGTTGCCATGCCCTGCTTTTCTTATTTCTTGCATAGACTCTGGCATGCTTGTCAGGTAGAGCCCAGGTACAGCTGAATGAAATGTTGCCAAGTTCTGGTCTAGGCCTGGGCACTGTGAGTACATTTATATAACTTATTCTTTACTGATGTGCGTTTGACTGGAGTCGTGAGTAGAATGACCAAGGACAGAAACAACAACATAGACCTAATCTGATTACCTAGGTCCCTGGACCACAGGTCAAGGTTCCTCTCATCTGCACTTTAAATGAACCATCTGGGAAACCAACATCTGCAGCCAACTCTCTGTTACCCTCATTTAATCTCAGATTTGGCCTTTACTGTTCGGAAACAAACAGGTAAAATAACTTTTGTCCTATGTATTGCTCCTTGAAGGTACTTAAAGTCCATACAAATCTCTCACATGCCTTGAGCTTCTAATGTCCTCTCCACTGGAAACCAAACAACATGAAGAATATACTTTCCTATCCTCACCCCCAGTGCTGACTGAGGCAATTCTCTCTCGTGAGCTAGAAAAGAAAGGCTGTGGAGGGCACTGGCGTGAATATGAACACCCAGTTGAGAAAGAACTGTTAGAAATGGTGGCAAATTGTAAGATGCAATTTCACAAATTACTCAAATGCAGTTCTGGAAATGCAGCTTCCTTACCTCTTTGACTCAGAATAAAATAATATTAATAGCAGGTCAGACAGTGTAATATTTCTCCATTCCCCAAAAAATGAGGTCAAAAGGGAGAAAGGGTATAGACAGACATGGTTTAAGAGACCCCAGACTGTCTGATTTCATAGTTTAGTATTTTCTGAAAGAACTGACTGAAGTTTTTTCTACTTCTTCTAAATGTATTTAACATTTTCAAGTTCTTCATTCATATTCTGAAAAGTTACTAGAAATACCTGCCTCAAATAACTCTCCTGTTGCATACATTGCATAAAAGGCTTTTATAAAAAACCAAACCTATCAGATAAAAAGAAGAGGCATAAGTTCTAGTGCTCTATAGCACAGCAGGGTGACTACAGTTAACAATAATTTACTGTGTATTTCAAAATAGCTAGAAGGGAGAATTTTTAATATTCTCAAGACAAAGAAATGATAAGTTCTTGAGGTGATTATCATAATCTGGTCATCACATATGGTAATTACCCAGATTTGATCACATTATATATGTGCATTGCAATATCACACTGTATTTCATATATATATATATATGTACAATCATGGTGTACCAATTTTTTGAACAGGAGAAAAGGAAAGGTGAAATTTACTACTGAAGAAAAATATGTCTGATCTTTTGTGCCCAGAGAAAAGGCAATTCTTTCACATATGTTGTTGCTTGAGCTGATGAGCCTACCCAGAGAAAAGAATTAATTTTTCCTCCATTATCCAGTCCTCTCTTTTGTTGGGAATTACAATCAGGAATGAGCTCCAAGTAGCTCATACAGCTCCTTAGGACTCGCCAGTGCTG